TGCATGTGTGTGTGCATGTCTGCAGGTGTGCACACATCTGTGTGTGCATGTGTGTGCATGTGTGGGTGTGCATATGTGTGCGTGCATGTGTCTGTGTGCGTGTGCATGTGTGCGTGCATGTCTGCAGGTGTGCACACATCTGTGTGTGCATGTGTATGTGCGTGGGTGTGTATGTCTGTGTGTGTGTTTGCATGTGTGTGCATGTGTGCATGTCTATATGTGTGTGTGTGCATGTTTGCATGTGTGTGTGTGCGTGTGTGTGCGTGTGTGTGTGAACGGCACACAGACATCCAGGACTATGTACCTCTGTACCCTTAGAGACGTGTAAGAATGTTCGCAGCAATGGATTTATAACAGCTCCAAACCAGTGGTGGTTAGACTGAGAGACGGAGGAAGAAATTGCAATTCACTCATTTAATGAAACCTAAATGGCAGTAGGAAAAGAACCAATTACAAAAGCACATCACAATGTGGAAGGATCTTAAAAATATAAGCCCCCCCCCAAAAAAAAACCCCACAGACACCAAGTATCTCAAACTGTATGGATTCAGTTTGACGAAGTTGAAAGGTCAGGCGGATGAGGGTTGGCGGGAGTCTCTGTACCTAGACGGGGTTTTGCTGTGAACAAAACTGACCTAAAACACCAAATCTCATTCTTAAAAAACTGTAAAAGAAAACAGAAAACCAAAGTACGGCAGGCTCAGGACGGCCAGCGAGACACAACAGCCAGACACAGAGGACGTGAACCAAGATCAGATCACTTCTTAGCATGAGCGCGTCCCGAGCATGTCACGTGACACTCATGGAAAATGGCAGTCCCTTCGCCTCCCAGCAGTCCCTGCAGCCTGGGCTGGGTGACAGCACCCATCCCAGGGCCCCTGGACCCGTGGTCAGCACCGAGCTCAGGCCTGGCTGTGCGAGGCTTGGCCAGCCTGAGGCTCCTGGCCATGGGCCCCTCCCTCCCCTGGATGGCTGCACCACACATGGTCGGGGCCTTACCCAGGCCAGGCACACGGTGGCCACGTGGGCCGCGTGGCCCCAGCAGGGGCCTGATGGGGAAGCAGGACCGCAGGTCGGCCTCGCCGTCAGCCAGGCCAGRCTCTTGGTGGCCATGCCCACCACGCTGCGCCGCGAGTTGGCCCTTCCTGGCTTGTTCTGGAGAGTCCTGGACACTGAGGCCAGCCCTGAAGGACCCTGCCCCCAGCCCAGAAACTGTGGCATCCCAGGGGGCCGCAGCCGGAGGACCTGGGTCACCCCCAGCCAGCCCTGCTGCACACCTGGGGACGGGCAGCTGGTTGCTCATCCAAGCCCTGTCAGCTCTCCTCTGGGCTCCTGCCTGGGGCGGACAACCTGCCTCCCATGGCCCTCTGTGGCCCTGCTCTGCCTCCCAGGGCCACAAGGAACACGTCCACCCCTGGCCTGCCGGCCTGGCCACAGGTCACGTCTGCTCTGTTCATTCCCCCCGCCCCGCCCGGCCCCGCTGGCAAAACCATGCCCGTGAAGCTGGAGAGAACCTCTCCTGAGCTCCATGAGAGCCATGTGTCACAGGAGGGAAGAGGAGGGAAGGGCACACCTGACCCATGGAGGTCAGCTCTGCYGCCTGCTGCCTCCCGCCAGCTGCCCTGTATCTGGGCAGCCTGCACCAGGGGAGCTGGGTGCCCCCAGCCCAGACCTCCACAGGCAGCTGGAGAGGTGCACCCACTCGCCCACCCAGCACCAGGCAGAACCCGCAGCCGGCAGGACGCCTCCTCCAGAGAGAGTGGCTTCCGGCACCCGAGGGCCACCAGCAGCTGGGGTCCCTCCCACTGAGCAGCCCAGGAGGACAGCATCCACCACCACCTCACGGCCTCTCCCCCTTAGTGACCGCAAACCCGGCTCAGGGAGGCAGCCAGCCACGCCCCAGGCCCCAGCAGCCCCAGGAGCAGGATGTAGCCTGGAGGCAGAGGCCCGGGTCACYCGATGGCTGGTGGCTGGTTGTGGAAGGGCCCCTCGAGAGACAGAGCTCCCCTGGAGGATGTCAGTGACCCACCCCCACCACCCTCCGGCCCCCCATGGGTCTGGACAAGGCCACTTGGGAAGGACGGTCCCTGCAGCAAATAACCAGAATGAGGTCTCCATTCCTGCAGCAGGCACTGGGACAGGTGCTGGGCTCAGACGGGCCCGCGTGACACCCTACAATCACCTCTGGGGAGGCCACTGCACTCCCACTTTTCAGAGAAGGAGCTAAGCACAGAGAGGTGAGGTGACTCACCCACGGTCCCACAGCCCATAAGAGGTGGGGCTGAGATTCAAACTCAGGCAGTTTGGTGCTGAAGCCACGTTCTGAATCTATGCGGAATCAACTTAGAAGACAAGCGGCTTTGTGGGTAGGGTGGGTTGTAAACCCCAGGCCAAGAGATCCAGTCCCGACTCCTGCCAGGCCCKAGCCTCCTCTCACCCCCGGGCCCCACCCCACCCAGCCCTCCAGAGACCCTCCTGGAAGACCCCCCAGATCTTCCTGCCCAGCCAGACTGTCAGGGCCTGGGCTCCCCGTTTCTCCTTGTCCTTGGGGGGTGAGAAGGTCACATCCCTGGGGGCCCATGAGGCCACGGGAGGGCCTCCAGCCTCCAGTCCCAGAGGGGCACCACGTGGCATCAGCCAGGGCCGTCCAGGGCTGCCCAGGTCACTGTGTCCACAGCAGCTGTCCCACACACAAGGCCCATGAGCCCAGGCGACCCTCGGCCACCCTGCCTGGGAGCTCCAGGGAGCCTTCCTGGTGACACCACACTTGAACACACACGTGATCTCTCCCCCGTGGAGACCACTGCCTCACCGTCCGCCCACCTGCAGAGCAGACGCCTGTCAACCCTCAGGGCCCAGGGCGGATTCTGGAGCCTTCAGTCAGGATCACAGAGACTGCTCAGAAACAGTCTTACCTTCACCCTCAGCACCATTGTCAGCATCATCACCATCATCGTCACCACTGTCGTTACCATCACCACCATCACCACCACTATCACCATCACCACCATCACCACATTGTCACCATCATCACCATCATCATCACCACCATCACCATCACCACCATCACCACCATCATCACCATCATCACCATCACCACATTGTCACCATCATCACCATCATCATCACCACCATCACCATCATCACCATCACCACCATTGTCAGCATCATCACCATCATCGTCACCATCATCGTTACCATCACCACCATCACCATCATCACATCACCATCATCACCATCATCACCACCATTGTCACCATCACCACCATTGTCACCATCATCACCATCATCATCACCATCACCATCATCACCACTATCACCATCACCATCACCACCACCATCATCACCATCACCATCACCACCATCATCACCATCACCA